CGGGACGCGGTCCAACCGTACCAGCCAAAAAACTGGAAGAGGCCGGGGTACAACCCCCGGCACGGACAGGGCTACAATTCCCGAGAGGGACACCCCCAGGACTGGTTCAACAAACCAGGGCCGAGTGGCGTGAGAAGGGGAAAGAAGTTCAAGAAAGAGTAGAACCCACTATGAAGGTGAGGACTCTAGAAACATTTAAAAGTGAATTTTCACTGTTTATTTTAGATGCCGTTAAAAAGGCTAACTATGATATTCTAACTTTTGAAGGAGGCAGATTACGGTATTTTATAGACGAATGGAGATCTATAACCTCCGACAAAGAAATATTAAGAATAATTAAAGGCATGGAACTAGATTTCCGTGTAATGCCAGTGCAGGCAAGGCCAATAAGGGAGGCAAAATTCAATGCCTCTGAAACCGTAGTAATAGAAAAGGAAATACAGAGATTATTACAAAAGAAAATTATAGTTGAATCTCCATTCCTACATTCCTTTCCAGCGATGAAGTAGAATTACAATCAAACTTCAACTTCGGTAAGTTTCGTTTAATTTTTCAATTAAATGGGTTAAATCTTGGCTTTTAGGTTTAATTGCCAGGTCTTTAAATCGACGGCGTGTGTGTAGGCAGGGAAGTGACTCGGCCATATTTAGTCCTTAGATCTGCTAGTCCGCGGATCAAGTTATTCTGAATGCCTTATAAAGGTGTTTTGCATGCATATGGCTATTTTATCAACAGGGAATGCTAACAATGGCATAGATGTAATTTACACTTAAATTATTATAAGCTGTGATCAATAAATTGTGCTGCAAATAATGGACATGCATATAAGAAAACACATTTTAACCTGATAAAACTATTTTATTTACAACTTACATTATTAGATAACAAAAAGACTACTTAATAAAAAAATAAATATATACCACATATGACCATTGATATACACTTATTTTAAGCTTGATTAACATGTAAATGCCATTGGAAACTTCGCATTGCCAGTCAGGCAATATTTTATAATTATCAAATACAGAAATATTGGAATGTCGGGATATAGTTCATGAACATGTAGATAAAAATGATAAAACAATATTTGCACTCACATTATAAAGCAGCATCAATTTTAGCAAGTGTAGCCCCTGCAAAAAAAATTGTCTCATTTGGCGTTCATTTATGGTTCTCAATCTATTCTAGAACATTTGGTGTACTTTTTACAGTTCAGATGTTTTTTCTGTAATGAATGTCACAGTTTGGGAATTGTTTTGGGAAATCCTTCAAATTGATTTAGAACATTTTTCGTTAAAAAAGAATTACATTGAAACTGAATTCTAGGTCCCACTTTCAATGACCACTATGCACATACACTACACATCATTTCGCATTAAATCTGGATTATGTTTATCCACTTATGACATGCATACAACTATACATAATATACATACACATACACATCTGTGTCTGTTCCTTAAAATACAACATCTTTACAATGTCCCCGTAGAAATGATAGAGCCATTATCATATATATATATATACACCGTATACAATAACAATCCGTCATATTAATTTCCACTTTACCAGTCAACTATCAGCCTGGGCAATGATAATCAAATACATAAATAAAGACATGCCAGTTCATGAACATGGTGATAAGATGACAAAACAATATTATCACTCACACCATGTTTGGCAAAGGTGAGGCAAACAGTAACACATTCCCCACTTTCAATGGCCATTATATACACACCACTTAACATTTAATCTACGTGAGTTTTTCTTTATCCACTTATGCTTTTAAAAAATGTAGGGCCTATCTCGACCAAATAACAATCCCTCAGATTACTCTTCACAAGGCAATGTGCTCAAAGAAGTTACATTGTCTTAAAGGTCACGGTCACGTGCGGATAAGAACTGACAGACAGTGCTCTCTACCTCCACTTAAAGGTCAGGGTCACGTGTGGGTATGACCTGACAATGCACTCTATCTGCTCCTTGAGGCCGTCTACTCTTTCTTCATAATTACCAGACATGTCAATCTCCATACCATTCTGCTCTGACACTGTACATAGAGATTGCACCAATGCTGTGAGTGGTCTGGTGATACCACAGTGCAAACCCAACTTATTGTCTGCCAATGAGAAGTGTTTCAACTTAGGAGTGTGTTTCACACCGTGGCCCAGTTCAAACACAGCTTCACAAACATCCGGGCAACCATGGTCTTCATTCTCAACCTGATCAATATATGGACAATTGTTATACTCGTATCCCTGGCTGAAAAATAGGCAAATGAAGGTTTTATATTTCCAATCAAATACACCTTTCAGCTCTAAGTGTGCCAGTCCTGGCACATGACGAAGATTCTTCCCTAGATTCTTGGCACACTCAGCAGTAAGGAGAAAATCCTTAATCACTAAGTGCGTCAGACCACGACTGAACGGCAGCTGACCCCCTATGTCTTTTTTCAAGTTTTGACATGTAACGCGTTCTAGATGTAAACACTTCAATGCTGACATTTGCCTAAGGATCTGAGTATCTACTGGTACTGGTGCTTCACTAAGATCCTTCCATTGTCTAACAAGCAGGTTGCGGAAATTTGCGGGGTTTTGTATTAAAGATAGGTATGAACTATCAAAGTCTCTATCGATACAAAGTGTGTTTAAGTTAGGCGCATTGGACAATACATGTTTTATAGCATCGGTACCGAGATTATTACATTTTTGGCTATCATCCCATAATACAAATGAAAGATTCCTGAATAATTTACACATCATTAATAAGGGGATCGTTTTATCTTCCATTTCCTCTATTTCCTGCATTTCATCTCTGTCTTCACATGCGTATGGTCTGCAGTCAGAAATGACAGCACTGACATCTTGGAATACATTTTTCCATATCTGTTTATTATTGCGTAAACTGTTGTCCAAGACCTCCTGAAATCTGGGATCATAGTGTCTAAAGGAGTGTGGTATGCGGAGTATGGTGTGCCAGGGGGCAAGCTCAGGAGTCAAATCACTTTCCTGGGTACAGTGGGCATACCAGTGTTCTAGGAGGAGGTTGTTAAAATTTTGTATGTACCAATCAGCAAAGGTACCATTAAAGGGATAATACCATGAGATGGTATGTCTGTTGTAGAAAATACTGGTTTCACCTCCAGTATTTGGAGAATAAATGTGTTTAAGAGATGCATCCATCTTTGCCAGCT